AAATGAAGTTCCCCCTAACAATGTTATCTCAGGAGATTCATCGAAACCAAGTTTCTCTTCGTATCCACAAAAAAGGCCACACAATCTTGGTCTTCATATCTTCGAATAAGTTATGGGGTCAATTGCTATAGCAAACACAACTTTGGTTCATCAACAATCCCAGCACAGAAGGGCCTGGCATTCCTTTAAATGCACACCTGCTCTGTAACCCAAGTGTCATCGTGGCAATGCGATGTAGTGGTTATGTCAAGATAATACACTTCACCATCAAAGTTCGAGCTCCACTAGGGGTGCTGATAAGACCAAGACGAGGCCGAAATTGCAGTCCGCCCTGCATGGGCCCATCCTTTGCGAAGCAATGCCGTATGAAATGCAGTGGAAAAATGAAGCCTACTCATATAAGTGTTGAAAAATTCAATTACCATCTAATATAAGAGCTAATGGTAGTCTTAAAACCCTGCTTATAAACAAAAAACTTAGATTGATCATAGATACATAAATGATGAAGACGAATTTGCATAAAAGAAAAAATGGAACACTGCTAGCTGGGTCAGTATAACACTTGAAATTAAATTATTAGTAGAGCTATTTTTGACTAATTTAAGACATGCAAATAAACTTATGAAAATAAGAAGAATAAATAGTACTCTATGGAATTAATGTTTGTTTACAAGAGTCGAGATAGTTTACTACAATCATTTCTTATTTACGAAGGAGTCGGGTCCACAAACTCAGCACAACTACACCAGTCTTATTATGGAAAAATATGCTCAGACCTCATATCAGTATGAGTCGATGAACTTTGGATCTATCTTCCATTAAAGCCCTACTAAACATGGCCAGTTGTAAAGAACTTGTTTATTGTCTCATGAATTTATACAAATGTTACTTCGCTCATTATACTCATTATACTCATAGTATACCTATTCGAAAACAGTTCATATCAACTCAAGTGGCATCATATAAACTATTTTCAAAAGTGGTGCAAGGGCCTCTAAATTTAGACTCTGGGTTTGACGGAACAAATGGTGAACTCGAAAAGAATGTTAAAAAATAGTGGATTTCGAAATTATCAATCATCATATATGAGAATGGCTGGTAGAGACTACATGTGTGTTTTATTTTACTTAAAATCCCCTAATCTGTTTTTGCAAACATTATGGAGCGCCCAACTAAATGGTGATGACAATAATAAATGGCTATTGTCACTAGGTCACGCGATTAACGTATTTACCCATTCTCCAAAACGTCCATGGATTAAGTTCTGCTGATGGAATCGAGACGAGATCGAAACTCTAATCCAGACTGGATGATAAAGATATTTTACTTAGTAAAAATCTCTGCACTAATCAAACCGTCCCTCTAATGCGTTTTGGGAAAGTTGCTATCGTTCCCATAACTTCATGCGAAATTGGCGCATAATGGTAATGGCAATAATGGCCTAAGCATGAAATTTATTCACTGACCTGGTCGCTTATTAAAAGGTAAATGAGATATGGCGCAATTGCAACCTATAAACTGAGGAAAAAGGAAGGAAATGCGACAAACTGTCGAGACAACTATAAACATTTAATTCCAACAATAAACTGAGGTTAATAATGCGTCGGCAAACATAAGTTCTGATTCTACTTTTGAGGTTAACGAGAATATGTTTATTGCGTATAAATTATGTACAAAATATGTCAGAACCATTAAGTGTAATTGTTTATATTGAATACTCTGGAGTGCTTCACCGTCATTCTTGCTGATCAGGACTCGCTTAAAGGTCGATAGTTAGGTTGACTTAGGTCCCAATTGGCTTTCTCTTTTAAGTGGATGCTGCGAATGCAAGGAATCAAACGAAGCTCTAAATAAGAATAAATACAACTTAGGGTGAACATTTAATTGGAAAAGGATACACATGTTAGAATATTGACACTAGACTCGGTAAATGGTAAAGGAAAGAATTCGTTTATCAAGGGAGCATATCTTTTAAGCATAGCAAGGTGGAAGTTCATGTTTCTGGCGAAAAAGGTAAACATTTTCTATATACTCTCCGTGTCTTTCTTTTGAAAAAAATAATTGGTATATTGGCTCGACAACTCTAAAATATCCTATAATTTTGACACTAAAGCCAAAGGAGGACTTCAGCATATCCAGTGCTTGATATATAAATAATATTATTCCTACAATAATAGAGAATAAACATTAGGCAGATGTATGCTTATTAACAAACCTCATCCCACCTTTTCCAATTAAAGTGAGATCCTTCTTTATACCGTCGTCTCAATTCTTAAGTTAATAATGTGCGATTTTCCGGATTTTACCCAAACGTTGCACCGCCTAGAGTACCAATGAATTACTGGATCAGTATTACTTTCGGGGCCTGCTAAGTCTCTCCTAGTACATAAGTATAGCAGCACTATCATCGATATGACAATTATGTATTTTATCATATACTCGATAGTGTTACTTACACAAGATGATTGGTCTCTAAAATATTAGTTCTATTAATAAAGTCTTAAGCCTTAGTCCTCGCACATAAATTGTTCGAGGTAGTCTCGAATTCTCATTACCGTATTTTCCGGCGTATAAGACGACTTTTCACACCATAAATTTCTGCTCCTCGTCTTATACGCTGAGTGTAGTTTAGGTACCGCTAATTAGAATATGGTTCCGAGCTTCTGTTGTGCCCCTTACCTCCTTACAAAATCTATATTTTAACTGGAAAAGTCAGGGGGTCGTCCTATACGCCCAGCTGCCTTATACGCCGGAAAATACGGTAAATCAACAGCTGATGGTTTTAAAACCAACTTGTTCTGAATATTATGATACCGTTGATAATAATAACAAATATAAGTCTGCCCTATCGAAAAGTCATATTATTAATATGGAGATCCCCTATTTGGGCAATCCTCTCAATTCCCTTGATTAACTAAGAAATATATGGCACTTATTTAAAAGGACATTACAATTTTTCTTTAAAATAGGATTTCACGGTTCTCCAGGTAAGGAAATAACCATTTTTATCCCGTGACACAGTTGAGATGAAGCTATTTGGAAAGCGTGAAGAGTGAAAAGTACTTTTTCACCCGTGACTCGGAGAACAATATTATCTGAGCTTCTAACGATATGCATCAATGGAACCACGTTTCTGGATATTTGCTTTGCTGCGGTCCAAGTTTACCTTCATCTTTCAGCTGTCAGGACGCTGGACAGTTGCCCTCAGCATCCTGTATCAGGCATCAGCTGTGCCTTTTTTCCAAGATGGGCTGCTTCCGATCCGATATTCTTCTCGTCTGCCAGACTGACATTGAGTCGGTCAGGCTTCCTGCCACGGTTGAATCGGCTGAGGAGAGTTTCTGCCACCTGAAGGATCTGGCTAGTGTTGCCAAGGAACAGTTGTCCAAAGGTTGGACTGGTCTGTCTAAGGGTCTTCAAATCTCGCCTGACTCGACCGATCTCTGCCCAAACACTTTAGTGCCGTCACGCCTGAGTGCCGCCGCCAGAAATGTTGGGATGCCAGACAGCATTGAGCAGCTTGGGGACTGGAAACCGCTACTCAGGAAGTTGCCACATAGCCCAGTGCCGGATCTCCAGTTTGCTCGGGTTATTCACGATCCATATCTTAGAGCCCTGCCTCGGTCAGCCCTTTTAATGGATACCTACTCCTCGAATTCCCACTTCAACAAGGGTCCATTTATTCGGATTATGCTCTTGTACAAACGCACTGCAGTCCAAGTGCACAACACCTCAAACCAAACTGCTCAAGTCTCGTCGATGATCTCGCAGCATTCCAGACTGACCAATTCGACCAAAATTCATCGGCTTCTGTTTACCCGTCAAACTCACCGAGCTGGCACGCAGGCCCAAATGAAGCCGACTCAGTCTGCAAAAAGGAGGACTTCCGACAAGAGAGTTGAGAATGAACGAGTCGCTGAGGAGGCCGAAGAAGACCAAGAGAGAGTGAATGAACGCGACGAGAACCCTGAAGGCCCCGGAGTCGACCAATCATGGCCAATCATTCTGCCGGAGAAGATAACATGTAAAGTGCCTTATTTCCCTTTTTGTTGCCTTATTCGGTCTGTTGTTACCACGCCATTCAACGCACGACGACAAATACACACAAACCAATGCAGATCCAGCTGAAGGGCTCCAAATCACCACGTGCAGAGACCAAATTCAACCTACGGGTTGAAATTAGGGCAAAGCATAACCAAACCGAATAAAAGTGGGTGATGCAGAGATTTTCGGTATATTCCACAAGAATATATGGCGGATTCCTCTTTATCAGCTGTTCGGTGGCTTTACTGGAATAAATAGGAGGAAAAGTTTGGATTCAAAGGCTAGCCTAGAGGGCTAGAGTAACTCAACTTTTGAATTACAAAGAAAATTTGGTTGGATTGTGCTAAGAAGTCTTCGGATAACGGCTCTGAAACTCAGATAAATCCCTGTTGAACTTGCAAATGGGTGAAATTTATTCACGAAAAAAAGAGGATGCAGTGCAGTTGTATGAAATTTTACCCATTTGCAAGAATGTACACTAAGCATGTATTAGCCGGCAGATTCATGGGATGCCTAATTAAGATCACAAAACAAGTTGGGTTAAGTGATTAGGTTTGAGCATGCTGCCTAATCTCTTGGTTAGCATACCATGGGCTATTTCGTAAAGTATGGTTTCTTGTTGTGATGATGTCTATAGCATGACTGACGAAAGTGCACTACGAGTTTACCTGAGTGACAGATTGGTAAGCCGAGGACTTGTTAGCACAATCACATAGTTTTGACTGAAATACAATTCTCCTTCGGTTTTCTGTGAGACCAGATCACTAATTCTTTCTAACCAATTATTTCTTCAAAATGGAAATCCAGGTCACAATAATTTACTGAAATATTCCTGCTGACAGTGTTCCCGAGGCAATTTTCTTCGATTCCAGTGAAAACGGGATTAGGTTTCGATCTTCTTATGACAGACATCATTACGGCAAGATAGCATTCTAGCAACTATTTCTAAACTAACGAAACAAGAAAGCTCTGCTTGAATATGGTTGCAAGAGTGGTACCTCGCCGCAAAGATGTCCGTCATAGTAAAGACGAAACCTTACCAATCGAAGGAGATTTAATCGGAGAGACAGACTCAGCAAGTATGTTCCAGTAAAGTCAATTGGCAGCTGGCCAATATTAATCCATCATCGTCTTCTGATGGGAAAAAGCTTAGAATCTCTTCATCATCTCTCTTCATCAAACACACTCACTCGAAATGTTAATAAGGTCAACTATTATAAACCAAGACATTCTTCGAGACTCAACTTTGCTTCGCATAATCAAGCCTCCTGAAAAGGTCCTGGCACGAAGTAGTCCATGCTAGAGACATAAAGTTTCTACACGAAGCATCCATGCCCAGTCAAGTGTAGATGAGACCTCATACTCTTTCCCATATAACCATGCTAAGCAATAAACTATGAATAAGAGTTGTATTAAGCCTTGGTCGAATACGATAAAGAAGGACTGGTAGTTGAAGTTTGCTACAATCATATTAGTAGACTTCATGCTCACACTAAAATTCGCATGGACTTGCTTTCCAAAATGTATTCTCATCCAGAATGGAAGGCAAGGTAATATGAGTTTTAATGAAAACGTGGGGCCTACTCATCGGATTGTGATAAAATTAAAATATCAACTAATATTCGCTTGTGCAACCTAAAGTGGATATATGCACAATTTAAGGTTGAAGGTTAACGACAATTTGTATAATAAATTCTTGTGAATAACAATGTGAGAGGCTTCATTATTATATTGGGGATCCGATAAATAAAGAAAATAATCAGCGCGATTTTGCCCGACTATGCAGGAAACTGTAAAAACATGAGGCTTTGATCAGAGAGCCACTGAATAAATAGAATTTCTTGCTTAATATTTTCTAATTTAAACATTTTAATACGACCTACTAATGGGATTTACACAATTATACAAATATTTAAATACATAAATATAGTTAAAAATGATCAAATAATTCATGGAATTACACCAATTGCAACGAAAGAATACTTAATCCAAGGTATGAAGACTAAGATGGTGTGGCCTTTTGTGTGGTCGCTGTCTCTTTTCGTTGTATAGAGGTTGTTTGACCTTGTTTTCGCAACTTGGTCATATTGCTAAGAAGACTTAGAGGAAAACATCTATTCTGGAGTTTATTGCATGCATGATAATTTCCAAAGTCGGACCGTGTACGTGGTACATTCCCAGACGTTTCGCCGGCATCTTTGATGAGTCTCACCATTCTTGGCACCACAGAACTCGTCAAAGAGGTGGAGTGAAGCCGATCCTTTGACCAAATTTTTGCTAAATAGTTGTGGTATCTCTCCTTCTATCCTCGTATCACGTCTTCACTCTTACAATTTTTACCGTGCTTATTTCGATGTAGTGTGGTGTGCTCCTTTGAGCCGCGTTCATAAAAATCCTTCACACTACACACTGTTGTTCTCACCCCCTTCACCCTTGTGCTGGGAATGCTGATCAGAGTCTGCCATATTGTTACGCAGTTCTTCTTCACTTGGTATTATCAGATCCGTCTGCTCTATACTTGGTTCACGTATTTCATTCGACCCCTGCAACCCCATCTGTACTATTCGAGATGTTATTACCCCTCCCATGCGTTTGGGTGACTCAGTGGAGGCTAAATCCTCTGAATAAGTGTCATGGTTACGCCTTTGTTACATGGACCACGTCTCTGGAAAAACCTACTGTCAGCCGACTAGCTCCAGTCTCCAGTCTATCCTGGCTCTATTCGTAATTCCAAGTCTATAGCTTGCCATGAAGATCAACGGGACAGTGAAGAATATGCTCAAGGAAATGCATAATAATGGGGAAATTGATAGATGGATGATGAAATCTTTATTCAAAAAGGACGCAGGACCACCGACAGCCTACGGACTATCGAAGATACACAAGGGAATCCGCTAAGAATAAGAGTCAACAACAAGCATGGAGCAATACACAAACTAGTGAAATTCATTTGATTGAAGCTCAAAAAAGTAAATTTTAGACTCTAGAATACTGTGAGGAATTAATATGAATGTTCTCAAAGGATCCAGAACATTGTGCGGGTGGAGACGGAATTGTTGGTGAGTTTCGATGTACGATCCATGTACACAAACATCTCAGGTGTGAATGTCGTAAGCGCCTTGCTTGAGATATTGGAGCGAAAAGAGAACATCCGGGAGGTAGAACAGATACGGAAAGAATCGTCAACACAACTTATCAACTTAAAAGAAAGGACCACATAATTTACATTGAACGGCAGTATCTACGAGAAAATATTTGGACTACCGATGGGATCTCCCTTCTCCCCTCTTTTGGCAAATGTGTACATTTACAAGTTGGAAAGGGAATTTGAGAAGTCGCCACTGCAACCAAGAGTGCTTATGCTATACTTGGATGACTTCTTTGCACTTTGGTCGCATGGTACTGAAAATCTAAATGTATTCCTCAATTTCATTAACCGACTTGATGAAAGAATTAAATTCGCAATGGTGGTGGAGGCCGAACGATTACCCTTTCTGGATATTGAAGTCATGCGCTTCAAAGGGACACTTATGAGGAGACTATTCAGAAAGAATTCATATGCGGGAATATTCCTTAATTTTTAGTCCCACCATAACTAGAGAGTGAAGATCGGAATACTGAGGAGTTTGATCATCAGAAGCTTAAAACTAACGGACAGTGAGTTCTGGAACGAGGAGTTGGACACACTAACACGGATTTTCCTTAGTAGCGGGTACCTCAGAGAGTTTATAGAAAAGAATGTAGAGGTTAAAAAGAGCAGATTTCAACTCGGCTTTTATGAAAATCAGATCAGGAATCAGGATGACAACCAAAAGTGGCTTTGCCTGCCCTCATCAGAAGTGAGCCAGCAATTGCAACCGTTACTAAATGGAATATCAAGGTGATAACAATGGAAAATAAAACACTTTTTACCAGTCTGCCGACGCAGCACGAAAAGACGGACAAACTTGATTGCTCGGGAGTTTATCGCATCAAATGCGGCAACTGTGAGCATAAATATGACGGAAAGGTTGGCTGAATATGGTGAAAATACGAGAAAACGCAAGATCTGAGAGGCCATTGAAATACTTACCGAGAGAGATCTAATGAACAGGAGACTTAAAGAAGGCATGATCAGTGAAAACTTTGCGTATTGCCTAAATAAATTCAGAGAAGACCAGGCAACAGTAAGATCAGCAAAAAGAGGACGACTGGATCAAAATAATATCCTTAATTTTATGAAAAGAGATGGCAGGGCGACGAGTAGGGAACAATCAGAAGCGGGGGGGAGACGCCTTCAGTGAGCCTAATTAAAACAAATAGAACCACGATATTTGCGGGCTGGCACA